ATTTCAGCGCTCAAACAACCAAAGAATTAAGCAAATATTAGATTAGGTTATTCAATACTAGTTCGTATCGACGATAGTTTTTGTTACTTAGAGCGGAGTCCATAACAATTTACCCAACCACCCATCCAAACACGCGATTCCCGCAGAAAATGTTACAGCATCCCGCCACAGATTTCTACGATTTGGCGGCGGCCAATGCGGCTGCCGTTCTCACCGCCCGGCATACACCTCCCTATAGTCCCACGGGTCTCAGTGGATCGGTGGCCCTGCACAACAACAACAACAGCACCACCAGCAATAACAACAACAGCAGCACCCTGGACATCATGACGCACAACGGTGGAGCAGGAGGTGGACTCCACCTGAACAGCGGCAGCAACGGAAGCGGCGGGGTGGTCAGCGGAGGAGGCTCCGGCGGCAGGGAGAATCTGCCCAGCTTCGGCTTCACCCAGGAGCAGGTGGCCTGTGTCTGCGAGGTAAGCTGTCAGGAGTATATCTCATAGTTACCTCACAATTTGTCACACTAAGCTAAACAGCAATTTAATAGTTGATCAAGTTTCGTAAAAGTAAGCTACAAAAAAATACACACATAAAAAAAATACTTAAAAGTAACAGTTTTTGTAGTTTGTTTAACTGTAAATACAGTAAAACATTTATAGTTACTATACAATTTGTAAGAGTAATCAAAACAGGAAATAAATACTTGATCAAGTTACATAAAAGAAAGCTACAAGAAAAGTACATAGATAAATTACTACGTAAAGTTTTTGTGGTTAGCTCAACCGTAAATATTAATTAATTAATTTTTTTCTGTGTCGAGTATTGAGTTAAATTTTTATTAATTTAGTAATGGTATGGTAATTCACATATGTCATATAACCCGCAGACATTTACACGCCTTATGGTCAACACAAATAGTTTTTCTTTCGCGATGCAAAGATTAATTTCACGCAAGGACCAAAATGTCAAGTTTTTGAATTATACATTAAATTAACAAGATCATTTCGCTGATAGTGCTATACCAAGTTATACCACGTTTCCAAACAAACATAATAAACCAATTTAACTTTAGAAATTTTTTGACCAATTTAATATTTATTTATATTCATAAAAAATTCTTTTTTTGTAAATTCAATATTACTTCTAAACAAATATTTTTAAAATATAATACTCCTTAACAAATCATATGAACCGACCACAGTTTGTTTTCAATGTAATTGTATTTGGAAATGACAAAATTATGAAAGAATGGTCTATTTTAATAATGCTCCAAATGGATGAGTTCTGAAAGCAGACAGAATATTAGATACCTTTTATAATTCCCGTGTAATTGATGTTTGAAAGTGATAAAACTGAAAGTTCCAAACACTATTTCCATTCCACCCATCGAAAAGCGGTCAATCTCAAACCAATCCCGAAATCCTTGAAATCTTTCGCACAGGTTCTGCAGCAGGCGGGCAACATCGAAAGACTGGGCCGCTTCCTCTGGTCGCTGCCACAATGTGATAAGCTGCAGCTGAACGAGTCCGTGCTGAAGGCCAAGGCGGTCGTTGCATTCCATCGTGGTCAGTACAAGGAGCTGTACCGCCTGCTCGAGCATCACCACTTCTCGGCCCAAAATCACGCCAAGCTCCAGGCCCTGTGGTTGAAAGGTGAGACCCGCACTCCTGCTTAACCCCAAAATGTTCCGAGTGCTGAAACAAAAACGAATTCTTTCTCTCCGGCTGTAGCGCATTATGTGGAAGCCGAAAAACTGCGCGGAAGACCCTTGGGTGCTGTTGGCAAATATCGTGTTCGCCGTAAATTTCCATTGCCCCGCACCATTTGGGACGGCGAGGAGACGAGCTACTGTTTTAAGGTGAGTGCTGGGGAGGAGTCGAAGGAGGAGGAGGATGAGGAGGAGCACCCAAGTCGTCCTGGGCCGCTTTTCATTTTAATTGTGGCAAGCGGGGAAATCGTACAAATGTCCGATGGCCTGTCTGATTGCATAAGCTGCAACTGCCCGATTGCGCTGGGGTAACGCCTTTCGGCTTTATCGGAGCAGTATCCTGGACAGGAAACATTTTGTTTACTATCTGGTAGGCTTTCAGTTGGTTCAAATAGATTAAAGGAAGGTCAGCGCAGGTCTATGTACAAAAGGGATTTTCGTGAATTTTCCGGCTTTTTCTGACACGTTTTTTTCCACCTTGTACATTACAAATATTATAAAACGCATTTTACTCTTCAAGTAATGGATATATTTACCGGCGAAATCCATTTCATAGCTCAAACTATTACTATTAATTACACTGTTATTAAATTGTTATTTAACCAGAGATTTATTATGATTATTACACTCAGAAATGCTCCGATTTTAATAAAAATGTTCCTATTAATCACTGGTACTCTGAGTTACGCCTTCTAGCGTTAAGGTATATTTATTATAAGGAATATTTATTTATCTGCTAGGGCTGATGTTATTGACTATAATAAACTAATAAGTTCTGTGATAATTGTATGATTTAGAAAATTTATGGTGTGTCGATAGATATTGACATAATAAATATATACCGTCCAAAAATTGTTCTCTACTATAATTCTATAACTATATGATTAACAGGTAAAAATACTATAAGGGTAGTTAACCTCGCTATAATGTACACCTATAAACTTATTTATGATTTAATATGTCCTTCCGTAGGAGAAATCCCGCTCGGTATTGAGAGACTGGTACTCGCACAATCCATATCCATCGCCCCGTGAGAAACGCGATCTGGCCGAGGCCACAGGACTGACCACCACGCAGGTGAGTCAATGGGCAATGCCAAAAGCAGAAACATAAATGTCAAACGCATCTTTTGACAAATTTCAATTGAAATTCCTCACAGATGCCATCCTCCACATGTTAATTGCATCTCATTAATCATGGGACAGCATTGCGAATGTTTACAAATGTCTCTAAGCTATTTTTACGCTTTTACAGGTTTCCAATTGGTTCAAGAATCGACGACAAAGAGATCGAGCTGCCGAACATAAAGAGTGAGTTGCAATGAACAATTATTATTTACAAAGATATCTAGTGAGATATTATTGGGTGTATTCCATTTAACAAAGTGGATCTATATCTAGATCTCTGAATCAGTCCACGTATTTATGCTTTATTTAGCGATGAATATGACAAGTGTCAACGCGTGCAAGGCATCGCAAAAAATAATATATTAATTTGCATTTAAATTTTCAATTACAAAAGCTGACGGCATTTACTTTCAAGGTCGTTAAGTGGGTGGGGCGGGGCGAGGAGGGGGGCGGGCTAATTAGTGCCAAGGACAACACGCAACTGGCACACGCTGTGGTAAACGGGGGGGTTGGTGGGGGCTGATATAAAGAAAGAGTCGCTGACAAAGTCATTAAAATGTTGTTCCAAATTCCAAAATGATATATATAACCTATCCTATCCTATATATTTATTTTATTTTTATTTGATTTGTTGATGTTTGCTTTTCGGTACATGTATGCATATCTCCGGCATATGTCTGGCAGGCCTTGTCCCTAATTAAAATCCCCAGTCCTTTCCCTCCCTTCGCCCTTCCCCCGATATTCCCTGAACATCTGCATTTCCGCTTAAGCAAATAGTTTCAAGCAGTTGTGGCACTCCTTTCGGATGTTTCCTCTTCGAGAGAGAGAGATCTTCGGCCGCTGATAGGAAATATTTTCTCAAATATTAAACATCCTTTGGCCGGCCAGCATCCTTTTGTTTGTCCCCTGAACCCACTTGGGTCCTTCTGCAGCCGCTGGAAGTCATGTGAAGTGCAAACAGTCGAAAAAGTGAAAATGGGATTTTTGAAGTGGCCGCGCATTTCCTACGCTCCTTTCGCGTCCCACCCATTTGGGCAACTATCATTAGCTGGTAAATTGCCAAAAAGGCCGAACTTTCCCCAGGATAGTAGTTCCATTATGCTAAATGGTATATCACTTACGGCTCCTCCACTCCGAGTTTTGCCTCACGAACGGCAGGCGAAAAGCGAGAAATTGTCGTAATAAAAATGGAAATAAAAAAATGGTAAAAACAGAAAAACTGCAAAAAATATTATAAATTGGATGCCGTGGCAACCGCAAGGCACACTCATACATGGCCGCTCGACAAAAGTATCTCACAGATACACGTTCGTTCTCGGCGATAGTTTACACTGCGTAGCTCCCCCCCTTCCCCTGCCCCTTTCCCTTTCCCTTCTCCACCCGGCCGGTAACTTGATATATGTTTATGGCTGTTGCCTCGATGAGCAACCCAGTGTGCTGCTACTTTAACTTTTTCATATTGTTTTTTCTCCTATCTTTTTTTTTTTTGCATGAGGGTGTGTGTATCTATGTTCCATTTCCATGCAGCTTTGTGGCAGCCAGCAAACCACAACGGCGCCAAATCTGAATCTAAAGCGGCACTTTGAACAGCCCAACAACTGCCAAAGTGGTTATTGTTTGAATAGGTACTACCTTCGCCAGAAGAGAATGTAGAAAAGATTGCCAGCTAGGTAGATTGAATAAAATGAGTTAGAGCTAGGATATATAGACAGATGCCTTTATCGAATTAAATGCACCAATTAAAAGGGATACTGTCCAATTTTTGGTAAAAAAGTTTCACGTTAAGAAAACTTTGAAGAATTTTTTTTATTTTCCTAAATATCAGCAATTTGTTAGAAATTACTTCATTAGGAATACTTAAATTACTGCAACAATTTAATTAGATACAGTCCTCTTTTAGTGAAAAGTGTTCACGAAAAGAAATACTTTTAAGTAAGATTTTTTTAAGTGTCAACAAAGTAAAGTTCATTACAACAATTAAATTTTTTCTCATATTTAACGATTAATCAAAGCCACAGTTTAAGAGACAGCCCAAAATTAAAAAAAAATATTTGAGAATTTCTATAATACATTTTTGCACACAGACACAATCGAACATTTTTTAGTTCTCCAATTTTATTTTTTTATTTTATGCACTAAACACTATTTTGTTTTGAATATAAAATGTCCTATTATATTTATTGACAAAAAATTCCTCCCTAAATTAATTACGGCTTTTGTAGTTACACTGTTGAATTGTGTACATTAAACTTCAACTTTTTCATAAAAGGATTTTTCAACAACCGCAATAACATTTCAAAGAAAAAATAATTTAGAAACCAAATGGAGTATCTAAATTTACATTAAGCCAGAAGATGCTCGTCGAGTGACCTTTTTTAAAGGATCTTACAGTTCGTCCCAGTAAGAAATCGGGATTGGCAAATATGGATCGGCTATTTCGCAATTCTGGCTCAGCTGAAGACGAAGCACAGAGCCATGCGCATATAGTCGACTGTCGAAGATATGGCGGTTATAATGACGCGGTACCGATCGATGTACATGGTCACGAACAGCAGATACTTCTTGTTGGTCACCTGGAAGCGCCACAGGTGCGAGGCGGCCCCCAGGAGGTCCCAGTTGTCCGGCGGGACCACCCCGAAGTGCCGCTCGCCCGCGTACTGCAGAATGCCGTAGTAGAGCAGCAGGACGAGCAGCGGGTACAGGATCGGCAGCATGATGAAGAAGAGCAGGACACAGCTATAGACGAACTTCAGGAGCGTGGGGAAGGGCAGTGGTTGCATCCAGATATCGAACAAGTGCTCCACCAATGGCTGCATGTAGTACACCATCTTTCCTGGATTCGATACGTTCTTCCACTGATGGATTAGTGATAGACAAGGCCTTACTTTCGGTATTTCTCATTGGACTCACCATTTTGCGCTTATGAAACGGCTTATTCCAGGTCTTGTGCATATTCTAACAATTTTACCTAAAATTTTGATAGTTAAAAAAAAAAATTTTGAAATTTCATAGGGCTACTTGCTACTAAAAGCTTTATTTCGAAAGGTGTTAAAAGTGCGGACAGCAAAAGTATCGAGTTTCCATGTTTTGTCTAGATCGAAGTTGGTTGAAAAGTTTAAAAAAAACTAACCCAAACAATCTAATTGTAATTCGATATTTTCTATTGGAATACATTTCGGGATTTTCAATTACACAAATATCCAAATAATGATCAAAGGTTGAAAGCTAACTTAAGTCAAATCCAATATTTCGAAAATTGTATACTAATTTGTTTTCTAAATAGATAATATACGTAAAGGGTTATCTCAACTTTACCCCAAAACTATATGGGAATTTGTATCTTAGCACTAATAATAGGCAAACTAAAGAAGGACAAAAGTGTAGAGCCCCATGACATTTTTATCCTGTATTCTATCAAAATTCTTAATGGTGAAACGATTTAGGAACAAATATTAATATATCTCATTTGCGGTGAATTAAACTGATTCTTTAACATAGTTAGCCTAACAACCTTTGCTTTTTCGGTGGCTTTAATAAAAATCCTTCTAATTAAAGAGGAATTTTCGGGTCGTTTGGGTCTTTCAACTGGATTTGATTGATCTGCCATTTCTACGGGATTCAGTACCTAAAGGATTCTTTCCTCCCTTCTCCTTTTCCTTTTCCCCCGCCCTACCCCGTTTAACTCACTCACACAGTCCCAGTTGCAGACGTGTTCCTGTCCCTCTTTCTCTATATATATACTCGCACTCGTACTACCGAGGCGACCCAGTCCGAGTTCCACTTCCAGTTCCAGTTCCAGTCCCAAGTCCATCCCACTCCCTTTCCCTTTCCCCGCGCCGCCACACCACCCCACCTCATCCGAATCCGAATCTCCCTCAGACATCGTCATCATTTTGCGTTCGTCGAATGCCACGGTTGGCTGGAGGGTAGCTGGCCAGGGTATCGGGTTACCACAAAATGTGCGTGTGTTCTTTATTCGTTCGCCCTGACAACCCCTCGCCCCAGACCCCGCCAGCACGTTATTCATTTTTATTCGTTTTATTGTACATTCTGTTTTTATTATTATGTATTTTGCGCTTTTGCCCGTCTGAGGCCCTCGTCTCTTCTTCTCGTCGCCTCCTCGCCGCTGCCTTTGTGTTTGTTTTCAGTTCCCCAGTTCCAGTCCCGTTCCCGTTCCCATTTCCCTTCTGCCTCCGCTCTCTTTCCCTTTCCCGATCCGTGCTCCGATGGCGTTGATAATGATGTTGTTGGTGATGATGGACCGGTTGGTGGTACTGAATCGGTCGGAGGCGCTTGCCATCCGCATTGACATCCGCGACAGCCCATCTCCGCAGCTCTCTTTTCCAGCGAGTGGGTGGGTGTCAAGTGTGCGCTCTCTTGACAATAATTAGATCTCATCTGGGAGCAGACACTCAGTGTGGAAAGCTCACCTAAATTTGACAGCAATATTGTTCTCTATTACATAACACGTTAGAGGAAGGGAACACCCTTCACCTTCAACAAATGCATCGAAATGAGCCTAATATTCGTTCAACATAATAATTTGTTCAACAAACGAGGTATTATTTGTAAATTAAATTGAATATTCAATTGAATTTTCATTTTTTACTTTTTGGTAAAATCATAGTCAACTTTTTAGCGCTTAAAACATTCGATATTCTTTTAGAATAGAATAAACAAAGATTTATGGTTCCTTTTTTAGCCTAAAAGTTTAAGGGCTTTAGAATATTTCGATTCGAAAAGAACAGGCGGACAAAGCTAAACTGAATCGCTTCAATCCAAAAATGCATATTCCTTTTAGGTTCGAAAATAAGTTCTTCTCTATTTTACACAAATGTGTAAAAGATAGAACCTAACTTAAATTTAGACTTCATGATAATGAATTTAACATATTAAATATCCTTCATATCTTATATTTTCTTCCAAATTGTTTAGAACAATATTTCGATAAAAATAGGCCTTGTCAAAATGGTGATGTTTTGTTTCTGTGGTGGAGTAGCTGACTCCTTCAGCTTGACCTCCGCCAGGGTTTACTAGGGCTTCCGTTAGTTAATCCCGCCAAACACTCCAAGCCTTAAAGTGCTGAAAAGACTTGGGGATTACATAAAAGTTTGGTTGCTCAGCGGGGGACTGGGACTCGACTTTTCTCCTCAGGCACCATCTGATTCGCCTCGAGGAGGGCAATTAAAAGGCCACAAAATTATAAGAAACTGTCAAAACAATCCTCGGCCAGCATAAAATGCGCCACACGCCACACATGCTATGTACTTTCCACCTTCGACTTGGGACCTTCAGCGGACGGATAATAAAATATCTTATAACGATGACAGCGCTGGGCTCGGACTTTGGGTTAATCTTTGGGATCTTACATAGTTGAAGACAATGGCACAATGCCCGGCCAGACGATGGCTAGACGAAAACGAATCGAAATGGAAAACTCCAAACCTTAAACCTTAAACCCCAAACCCCAGGTGAGGTGGACTTGGTCTTCGCGGGATTATGCCCCATCTTCAGCGTTTTTGAGTGTCAGAGGGTCGCCACGAGCATTAACAACAGCCACACACATGCGTAAATTAAATGATAATTTATGATCAACACCTTTTCAGATTCCACTTATGGATCGCTGTTGCCCGTTTAGTTGGGTGTCCTGCTGGGCACACGTCCCGAGATTTGTGTACCGATCGCGCAATGCGATAACTCAACCTGTTCGTTGGCTCTGGGCCGATCTCCCCGATCTCCTGATTGTCCGATGGTCTGATGGTCCGATGGCCCGATCTTTGCGATCCCCTGAGCCACGTTTTTCAGGGCCTGGGTCCAGGGACCCGACCCGTTTGTTTGTTTTTTTAGGATTTATTGGCTTATAATTTTTATTAGCAATGGAATTCCTTGGAAGCCCCAGTGCAGCCATCATCCTCATCCACCATAATAACTGTATGGTGGTAGTCCCTCCACTCCTTCGTGTGAAAATCGTGGAGTTATGTCATGGGAAATAGCATACTGAAGAAGTTAGACAATGTTATGTTTAATGAATTTCAATGTTTAATGCAAATCAGAGCAGTACCGAACATATCACAGAATTGCATTTCATAGGTCTACAAGTGTTAAAAAAAATGTCCGACGGTTTTTGGGCCAGTTGATTTGAAAGTCAACCGAAAAATCCTTCGGTGTCTAAGAATCTCTAGAGTTTTCGATGGGCTTTGCAGTTTTTCAAATTATAAATCGTTAAGTCAAAGTGGTTCAGTGTCACCAAGATTTGATTTTGTGTTAAAAGAGATTTCTGTGACATCCCTGTTTATGAAGGCATAAAGATTGGGATCCGAGCTATCCTACCTAAATGTCACATCTTTTTTCGAACTCTTCTATTCCTCTTCAAACCTTTTGCATTTGGAAACGAGAACAACTCACTCACGTGGCAAACTTGTTTGTGGACCCTCCCTCCCATTTACCCCTCACCGATTCCAGTTAAACATAATCCGATCATGCATTATTACCAAGCTAATGAATCTGCTTAAGACAGACTCCGCTCGAAATGGCTGGGGCTACAAAAAATCAATTGAGCAAACAAGTAAAAAATTAATTCCCCCTCACTGGTTACAGACCCCAAAAAAAAGAAAAGAAAAAAGAGAGGCAGGGTATGGAAAAGCCCGAGGAACCTTTTTTTTTCTGGGGGGACCACACACCGAGTTGGAGACCCAAAACCTGCTTCTTCTTCTGTGGTTGTTGTTCTTGAATTTTGTTATAAACTTTATGTGACATTCACTTCTGGCCCGGGGAATTGTCCTTGAGACGCTCTGCTCCCGTTCCCGATGATGCGAGTCCTCCGAGTGTAGGAAAACCGAACTGAGGCATTTGTGTTTATAATGCAATCACTGGAAATACGGGGTAGGGGGTAGGAGGGGGTGGAGGTGGCATGCCCACAAAAGTGGGCGCTGTCCATCTGTATGTGTTAATAAGTGTTGCAGAGGAAGAGGAGGGGGCGGGGAGTTTGGAGGGGGCAGAACCACGAAACTCTGGTAATTCGATATCATTGTTTATATGCTTCTGCTGCTGCTGCCTTTTGTTTGCTCCCCACTTTTCGCTGGGCCTTTTCTCATGTTTGCTGTGCTTAGGCCATCGATTTTTTGCCCAGAACGAGCGTTACTTTAATGTCGACAGTACGAACTCGTTTTCGGGAAATCCGAATTGGGGGAGTCGTATTAGTGGTGTCCATCAGATGTCACATGGTTGTGGGTCTTACGCCCACCCCGCGATCACAAGTGGTCCTCATCCAAGTTCAAGTTCATGCAAACGCTGCAAGAAATAATGGCATGACATCGCCGTTGGTGGCTGCCACTCGCGGGATACAATCTACAATTACACGATTGCCGATATCGTACAGCTGCGCCGTATGTGGGCTCCTCCGCTCCGAATCCGCGGCAGCTGGGGAACTGGAGTCAGCACATAACTGGGAGGTGTATCTGCTGGGCAACAGATCGGTCCTGTCCTCCGTCTCGGTCTCTGTATCTGCCCCATTGCGTCCCGTCGCAAATTTGTCGAGTGTGCGCTTAAATGTTTCGCATTGCCACGGACGAGGCTCGATCCCTGTTTCGATGCCCATACCCTCGGTCCGGTTTCCTCCGCTGACTAAATGAATTTGTTGGCTTCGATTCAATCCTCTAAATTAAACACATGTACCACTTAACGACAAGTAGACCAATTTTGAAGAGTAGTTCATTAACACAGTTTGGATTTACAAACTACTTCCTAATTCTGAAAGACCTTTTTCCGCGTTTTAAGTCTATGAAGCATTAAAGTTGAAACCGCAATCTCGGTTTTTATTGTAAGTAAGAAATTTTCAAATTAAATATATAAGCTGACTTTGTATATTTTTGTGTTTTAGAAAAAACAATATTAAATAATAGAAATGTAGTTTTTCTATCTCTACAAGACTGCTACTGAATTTTGGTTCCATGTAAACGAGGATATATTATGAGTCTCCTAAATAAAAGTTTTGTTTTGTAATTATTTGTAGTCTAACTTAATACAAAATTGTATATCAAATACAACGAGCAACAAATG